AACAAAATATTTTGAGTCTTATGTATATTTCCAATAGAATTTTGTCTTTATTTAGTCGTATAATTATTACTCCCATGTGTCATGTCATACTCAACATTTACTCAACAGGAACAAAACCCTATAAATGTAAAGACTGTAACAAGGCCTTTGTTCGGAACTCTCTCCTCATTCAACACCAGAGAATTCATACCGGAGAAAAACCTTACAAATGTGAAGAATGTGGCAAAGCTTTTAGCTGTTCTTCAAGCCTTACCCCACACCAGAGAATTCACACTGGAGAGAAACCCTACAAATGTGAAGAATGTGGACAGGCTTTTAACTGTTCTTCACACCTGTATAAGCATCAGAGAATTCACACTGGTGAGAAACCGTACAAATGCAAAGAATGTGGTAAAGCATTTAACTGGTCTTCTAGCCTTACCCAACACCAAAGAATTCATACTGGAGAGAAACCCTACAAATGTGAAGAATGTGGCCTGGCCTTTAACTGTTCTTCACACCTGTATAGGCATCAGAGAATTCATACTGGTGAAAAGCTTTACAAATGCAAAGAATGTGGAAAAGCCTTTAACTGTTCTTCATACCTCAATTATCATCAGATACTTCATACTGGAGATAAACCCCACAAATGTGAAGAATGTGGCAAAGCCTTTACCATGTTCTCTTATCTTAGTAAACACCAAAGAATTCATACTGGAGAAAAACCCTATAAATGCAAAGAATGTGACAAAGCCTTTAATAATTGTTCAGCCCTAACTCAACACCAAAGAATTCACACTGGAGAGAAACCCTACAAATGCAAAGAATGTGAAAAAGCTTTTAATAATAGTTCGAGCCTTACTCATCACCAAAGAATTCACACTGGAGAGAAACCCTACAGATGCAAAGAATGTGAAAAAGCTTTTAATAATAGTTCGAGCCTTACTCATCACCAAAGAATTCACACTGGAGAGAAACCCTACAGATGCAAAGAATGTGAAAAAGCTTTTAATAATAGTTCGAGCCTTACTCATCACCAAAGAATTCACACTGGAGAGAAACCCTACAGATGCAAAGAATGTGAAAAAGCTTTTAATAATAGTTCGAGCCTTACTCATCACCAAAGAATTCACACTGGAGAGAAACCCTACAGATGCAAAGAATGTGGTAAGGCTTTTAACTCTTCTTCACACCTGTATAGGCATCAGAGAATTCATACAGAGAATTTACAAATGCAAAGAATGTGGAAAAGCCTTTAACTCTTCTTCACACCTTAATTATCATCAGAGAATTCATACTGGAGAGAAACCCTACAAGTGCGAAGAATGTGGCAAAGCCTTTAATAATTGTTCAGCTCTTACTCAACACCGAAGAATTCATACTGGTGAGAAACCCTACAGATGCACAGAATGTGGCCAAGGCTTTAACTGTTCTTCAAACCTTAAACAACACCAAAGAGTTCATACTGGAGAGAAATTCTACAAATATGAAGATTATGGAAAAACCTTTAATAATTGTAAAGTCCTTACTCAACAGCAAGGAATTCATACATACTGGAAACACTATAAATGCAAGAGGGTGACAAAGTGTTTAGCAGTTATTCAACAGTTATGAAACATCAAAAATTAACATAAAAGAGAAACCCTACAAGTTCAAAT